GCTGATTTCTCAACAGAAACTATGCAGGCCAGAAGGGAGTGGCAAAAAATATTCAAAGTAATGAATAGCAAGAACCTACAACCAAGATTACTCTACCCAGCAAAGCTATCATTTAGAATTGAAGGTCAGATAAAAAGCTTCACAGATAAGAAAAAGCTAAAGGAGTTCATCACTGCTAAACCAGTATTATATGAAATGCTGAAGGGTATTCTTTAAGAAGAGGAAGAAGAAGAAAAAGGTAAAGATAAAAATTATGAACAACAAAGTGACAACAAACACATATCTATCAACAAGTGAATCTAAAAATCAAGGGAATAAAAAATCTGATGAACAGAATAAACTGGTGAATAGAATAGAATCAGGGGCATAGAAAGGGAGTGGATTGACAATTCTCAGGGGGAAGGGAGCGTGGGGGGTGCGGGAAGAGTCTGTCCAAAACTCATACACCTATGGACAAGGACAGTGGAGGGGGGTGTTAGGGTGGAGGGGAGGAGGTGGGAACCGGGTGGAGTGGAGCTATGGGGGAAAAAAGAGTAACAACTGTAATAATCTGAACAATAAAGATTTAGTTAAAAAAAAAGAAACCCAGCAGAAAACAGCAACTGAGATTATGAAGAGCTGAGTAGAGATTTCAGCAGGCATATGGTCTGGATATCAAAGATAGGAATTTAAGTCCTGCCATATGAGAGAGAGACCTTGGTAAATATCTTAGCTTTCAGTTGAGACCCCAGAAGGGTAACATTCTAAGAGTTAGTACCACACCCAAAAATAAGAGCTACTTCCTAAGAGTAAAGACAAAACTGAAATAGACTAGTCCTAACATAGCCTAAAATTAAGGTGATCTGCTGGCAGATCATGATCATTAATCACTAGGCCTTTTCCATGTTAGGTCACTAAAAACCTCAGAAATCTTTCACATTCTTTTACTTCCTTTATTCTACTGGCTGGATAATGACGCTCAGTCTTATAGTGAATGCCATGCATTGGAGGTACAGGCTCCTGAAGGTGAAGCTGAGCTTCCCATCCATCCTGCTGAATGGGCTTTTAATAATAAATAATGTATTATGCTACTGAGACTTGAGGGTTTTATCTGTTACAGTGGCTTAACTATTTATCTTTATATTTATCATCTCACTGAAATGTTTTCACAAAGGTATAATTTTATTATCTCTATTTCTATCTCAAGAAACTAAGGCTCTGGAAAATTAAATAACTAACCTAAGGTCATTCAGTGCATAAATGACGAGGCTAAAATTAGATTTTCTGTTTCTTCTTGAGTCTGTTGTTGTGGTTTGTGTCTTCCTAGAAATTTGTTCATTTTGTTTAGATTTTCTAACCTATTAGGATACAAATGTTCTCAGTTTTCCCATATAATAACTTTTTATTTCTGTAAGGTTAGTAGTAATGTCTTCTCTTTCATTACTGATTTTAGGAATTTGAGTCTCCTCTCTCTTTTTTACCTTTAGTTAAAGATTTGTCAATTTTGTTCATCTTTTTGAAGAACCAACTTTTCGTTTGTTGAAAACCAATCATTTAAAAAATATGATGTGAAAATTCTGGAAATCAGATTCTTCCTCCTGTCCAGGGAGTTTTGTTATTGCTGTTTGTTATAATACTTGCTTTTTTATTTGTTCAATGAGTTTTCGGACTTCTATAAAGTCTGTGTTCTTCATGTGTGGCCATGGACAATTCTGCGTGGTTATTTAGTGTCCAGTTAATAATTAGACAGAGATTTCCTTAAACTCTTGGAACCAATATGTCACCCGGAGTTCGTTGAGGGTGTGTGTGTGTATGTATGTATGCTGGGGCATGGCTTCAACATTAAGCCAGGCAATTGCCAACTTCTCTTAGCCTTAACTTCTCAAGGTCAGCCTAAGGTAAATGTTTAGGGTCTTCTCTGGTCTTTCCTGAGTTTATGCACAGTTTAGCTCAGCCCTGGTCATCTTTGTGGGTTTCTGGATACCCATGAATATGTTGGAGCTTTTCAAAGTTCCTGCAGACATCATCCAGCTTTTTCATTCAAGCTTTTTGGTTAACCTATTATTGCCCCAACTGTTTGCATTGTCTAGGGCAGCAGCAAAGTTAATCAATTCCTTCTCATTACTTTTGATAAATGCTTCTAGGGAAAATGCTTTTTGCACTGGGGTTGGCTCTGAATCAAATCAAGTGAAGACAATCTGACAAGTGAGATCTTTCCCTAGATAGGTGAAATAATGACTATTCTCCTGGAATTAGGCTTGAAAGAGTTTATTTCTGCCTCATCTGGTGGCTGCCAGTTTTCACCATAATTGTGGGCTATTGTTTTTCAATACTAGAGCAGAACTAGAGACAAAGGAATTGGATTAGAGCAAGTCACAACATCACAAAGCTCACTGTTCTTTCTGAGATTCAGCTGGTTTTCTTGTGTAAATGCTTCCTAGACTGCTGCAAGCCTTTGGTTAATTTCCAGAATTCTGAAAAAGTTGATTTTGATGACTTTGCCAGTTTTCTCATTGCTTTGTGAAGAAAATGATTTCCAGAGGTCCTTATGCCTTCATTTTTGCTGATGTCACTCTAAAGCTATGGTTAGAACTCAGGCGCTCTCACTCCTTGACCAAGCCTCCTCCTAATATAATGCACACATTATATTATAATATGTGCATTAGCATCAACTGGAAGGCTTGGTAAAATACAGATTGGTGGGCCCCACACCTAGGGTTTCAAATTCAGGCCTGAGGTTGAACATGACTGAGAATTTGCATATTTAAAACATTTCCAGGTAATGCTGAGGCTGTGGGTCTGGGGATCACTCTTTAAGAACCACTGCATTACATAATGTGATATCGTCAACCCATTGCCTTAGGAAGTTCTTCTCACCTCAGAATCAAGAATAATACATATAAGTCAATAATACATATTATCTCTCTATACACATAATTCAATATATAAGCTAATATGTATTTAGTACTTACTACATGCTAAGGATGGTATGCTTTACATTGATTAGGTTACTTTAATCTATACAATGACTCAATGGTAGATGTTATTACTTTCCCAATATTTAAATTGGAATTGAACCTAGAGAGGTATGCAGATTGCCCAGAGAGTAACAGAGATCAGTTCTGATGCCTTAGATGACTTAAATTGGCACATGCATTCAGAATTTAAAAACAATGACTCACATGGTGAGAAAGTGATTCCTATTTTGGTTCTATTTTACCATCCTTCTGATTACATCATGATAAAAATGCCATTTGCATGCTTGGTCTTTAATATATGTCTAATGTTTGGTAACCTACCCTTGGCGCAGAGATTCCAGTAGACAATAGTTTCTAGCTAGAACTTAAAAACATGGTTTTCTTTTCACTTATACTTACTTTCAATTTAGGATAATTAATGGAGGTTTTCCATTTATAATACTTTTATAAAGTTTCCCTCTTAAAGAAATGGAAAAATGCATTTATTTAAAGAAAATAATAAATAATACTGCAAGTAGTGTGCACAGATATGGTATAAAAAAGATTGAAATTTGGGAAACCTTTCCCCAACTAACAGGTTAGTATAACCAATTGGGTCAACATGCAATATCCTAAAGAGAGATTAGGGAAGTGTGATTAAAGTGTGAATTCTCTTTTCAAGAGGGAGAGATTGGGATGAAAAAAGAGCCAGTTTCTAGAGCAACATATATAAAGCAGATAAATATCGAGTGGGAAATGGTTCCTTCGTAAGAAATGTACTACAGAGATGGACTGAGATTTAGATTTGGTTTCACAATATAGCTAGCAAATTCTCAGAACTTAAATTTCTATAGTAAATTTTGGCTAATTTGTTTTCATCAAGACCAAAAAAAAAAAAAAAAAAAAAAGGAATAGTTTTGATTTACTGGGAAGAGATTTGTGCAGTTTCCAGGACAGCACAAGTAATAGGGCTCTTAATTCTTGGTGGAGGAAGTGCGCTAAATATATCCTGGACGCTGGGCTTGTGTGTGGAGGGTGTGGTGGGGGTTGGGAATAAGATGGGAAGAGAACAGGACTGTAATTAGAGAAGCGGACATGTTCAGGATGTAAAGAGGACTCGTGCGGAACGAAGAAACAATTTAGCATCATTGACATGATTAACTAAACTGTTGGCCGAGTTTAAATTAAGCAAGGTGTTTAGTGACTACAGCTGTCGTGTTTATTTTAGTTGCATGTGATGGGAGCTGTTTCTTCCCAGCATGACAACCTATCAGCCTCAAGATGCAAACTGGAGGGCTCTGGTCGGGCCAAGGCCCTACAGAGGAAACGCAGGCCTCTCCTATAACCCGCCCCCGATCCAACAGACTCAGAAACGAAGGAGCCGGGGTGAGACTGCAGGGTATATGGGCGTGGCCTCTGCGTGGGCAAACGTGCCCTTCCTCCGTCTATTTTTTTCTTGTACCGCTCCTATCTGAACTGCAACGGAGTGAACGTTATGCCAAGAAACTTAACCTCGTTAATCAGGTTCCCAGTCGAATTAGGATTGACGTTTAATGCCTCCATTTTGGTGGTTGCTGTACAAATTTCTGAAAGCCGAGCTGCGCCAGTCCTGCCGTAATTCCCCACACCCCCTTCCCTTTCCTGGAGACCCCACCCTCTTCTCCCAGCCCTAACCACAAAAGGCAGCGCAGTGCCAGCCCAGGACGGTGCCTCGCCCCGCCCCAAACGTCGCAGTGCCGCAGGGAGAGGAGGCGGGCCCAGACGCGGGCGTGGGCTGGGAAACAGTGTGGCCTCGTCCTTCCTCTCTCCGGCCAATCTGAGCAGTCCCCTCGACCGAGAAGGGAGGACCCGGGTGCGGAGACGCCTGAAGTCCTTTTCCCCTTTTTCTGCCACGTCCCATCCATTGACGTGAGCCCACTCCCGAGGTTCCGATTGGATACGTGCGTTTTCCAGCCCCACTAGGAGTCCTTTAAGTCTATTGGTCGGTGCTGTTTTGGGGGCGGGGTTTACGTGCCATCCTCCGCCTCTACTGCGGCGCGAGGGGCGGGACTCGCCGCCGCCGCCTCTGCTTCCGCCGCCGTCGCCGCCGCCACCGCGGGCTCCGCCACCTGCCACTGCGCGTTAGGCGGGGGAGGAGTCGGAGGCGGAGAAGAAGGCGGTGGTGGCGGGTGGAGGATCGAGCGCTGTTCTCGCTCCGGAGCCGCTGCACAGTTCGGTGAGGGGATTTTTTTTTTTTTAAATCTGGCTTGTTCTGATGTTGGTTATAGGAGGGTCGGGCGAGGAAATTGCTGCCTTTACCTCCTTCCTCTCTTAATTTCTGTCGAGAGGGAGCGGGGCCTATCTCTGGTCCGCTGCGCCGGCCATGGTGGGTGGGGTTGATAGCTGTTTAGAGGCCTCCTCGCCTCCTGGGCCCGGTCCAGCCGGGACCCGGCACCGCACTCGTGTCCCAGCGGATGACATCGGTTGGTCTCGGAGGTCTCCACCGCCCGCTTTTCCTGTGGCCTCTTCTGCTGTCCTTGGTGCCTCGGCCAAGGACCCCGCTGCCTTTCTCCCCACACTGGCGACTGAATGAGTTTCCCCGCACTGACACCCCCACCGCCTTCTCTGCCCACTTGCAGTCTCCCCGCGTAGAGCTGGTCCATCTTACGCCATAGGCCTGCGGCCCGCTCTCCCGAGGAACCGTCCGTCGCCCTCGCTCTGCCGGCTGTGTGTGCGTTTTCCCGAGCTCACCCGAGGCCCGGGCACGCAGTCGCGCTGGGCCCGATCGGAGCCCCATTTCCTCAGTGCTTCTCCCCCTAACGATGCCAGGTCAGGGCCCGCTCTGGCAGTCAGCCTCAGCTGTGGCCTCCCAGAGATTGCTGCTGTACATCCTTTTGCGCACATTCAAAATGGTGAGTTTAAAGCCTCTCAGACCAAGTTAAAGAAAAGGGGAGGAGAGAGTTTTGTGGCAGCGAGGAAGAAGAATCTGTGTAGGAGGTGCCCCTCTCCAGACATGATCGTGTTTTTATTTTTATTTACATGCTCATCGACCCTGCTGTGAATCTGCTGGTTCTGTGAAGTTCACGATTATCACAAAAGGCCTAATATGTTGTTATTTTTTATCATGAACTATTGGATCAGTTAAATTTTTTAAAATGGCAGTCACCTCTGCTGAAGACTACAGACCATTTGAAGAGTGTAAATAAGCATGAAGATTAAAGAAATAAACGTTTGAGCTATTTTTTTTCAGTTTTCAATTGCCTTATGAAACTCGTGTCTTTTTATATGCAATACCTTTAGTTTTTAAAATTAACGGCAGACATGCAAACGACGTAAAATTCAGCAATATAGAAAAATAATGACTAGGTGAAATGTGAACGTTTCATCCCTCAGTCCCGTTTTACTGTGCAGAGTTAACAATTTACGTTCATCTTTCTAAATGCACTTTTAAACATGTGCATACACATAAAGTTGTTTGGGAGGATGGTATACTAAACACATTGATATATCACTTGCTTTCTTTACTTAATTATATATATTGGACATCTTTACTTGTTACATATAGGTCTCCCTAATACTTTTTTTAAAGGTTAAGTGATATTTCATTAGTTCGCATAGGCTAGAATTTATTTAACGATATCTCTTACTGAAAGACATTTAAATTAGTTTCTTTTTGCTATCACAAAAATGCTTTCTTTAAAGCCAACTTTTAAATGTATTAATGTTTTTAATTACAAACTTTAAATCTTTGTAAATTTTAAAAACAGTACTGGAGAATATAAGATTGTTCTACACCTTCCTATAGTTCTACCTTCAAAGTCAACTCTTCAGAAAACTTCCTCCGTCAATATGTGATTATTTCTGGAGCATGGATTCCTAGAAATGGAATTGCTGGGTTAAAAAGTAGGCATACTTTAAATTTTGATAACCATTTCTTCCTCATTTTCCCCCCAAAGTTACTCATTACTGTTTTTATGCATTTCTTCTCCAGAAGAACTTTAGACTCAACTTGTAAATTAAAAAATCTTTAAGTACCACATGGTTATGGTTATTGTTGTTTTTTAATAAGTCTTAAAATCAGATAATGAGTCTCCAACTTCATTCTTTTTCAAAATCATTTTGGCCATTTAGTTCTTTTGCTTTTCGATAATTTTTTTTAGAAGTAATAGGATTTCTACAAAAAGTGCCGAGGAGATTTTCATTTAGATTGTCTTGAATATATCCACCAATTAAGAATTGACATCTCAATATTGAGTCTTCCAATTAATGAACACAGGATATCTTCATTTATTTAAACCTTGTTTGATTTCTTTTATCAGCATTTTGTAATTTCAGCGTACAGGTGTATACTGAAAAAAATCTCATTTTTGTTAAGATTTATACCCAGGCATTTCATTACTTCTGATACCAGTTAAAATTTAGTATGCAGTTGTTCATTGATAGTATAGACATACAGTTGTTTTTTGTATACCTTGAATATGGCAACTTTGCTAAATTCACTTAAATCTAGTAAGGTTTTTTGTTGTTGTTTCTTTGGCATTTTTCTATGTAAATAATGATGTCATTTGCAAATAAAGAACAGTTTTATTTCTTTGTTTTCACTTTGTGTGTACAACCTACTTTCTTTTTCCTCCCGTATTTCATTGGCTAGGATTTCCAGCATGATATTAAACAAGTGGTGAGAGCAGATATTTTGTCTTGTTCCTGATGTTACGAGGAAAACTTTTGTTCTTTAAGTATAAAGGGCCTTAAACCAATCAACTATATATAGTTACAGTAAGTGTAATAGGTCTTTTATCAAGTTAAGGATGTTCCCATTCTGTTCCTAGATTGCTGAGTTTTTATTATGAGTGGTCATTGAGTTTGCTCAAACTTTCTTGCTGTATTTATTGAGGTGGTCATATGGTTTATCTTCTTTGGTCTGTTAATATGATGAATTACATTGATTTGTTTTCAAATGTTGAATCAACCTTGCATTTTCTAGGTGTACCTCCCTTGGACATGATGTATTATCATTTTCATATATTAGTGGATTTAATTTGCTAATATTTTGTTGAATACTTTTTTGTATCTTCATGAAAGAAGCTTTTTCATATTTTTTTGGTATCAAAATGATGCTGGCCTTATATAGTGTTTCTTGTATTTTCTGAAAAATTTTGGATAGGCTTAATACTTGTTTCATGAATGTTCACTAGAGTTTGCAAGCCACCCATCTGGGTCTAGAGTTTTCTTTAATGGTTTTAAAGGATAAACTTATTTGCTTTAATAGGTATAGGATGATTAGGGTTATCTGTTTTTGAAAGCTTCCAGAAGTCTTTGACGATGTGAGTGACCTTTACTCACTATGTGAGCTTTAATAGTTGGTATCTTTCAAGGAATGTACCTGTTTCATCTATTCATTGCCATAATATTTCTTTATTGCCCTTTTAATGTCTGTAGCATCTGTAGTGATGTCCTTTCTTACATTACTGATATTGACAATGTGTCCTCGCTTTGTCTTTATTAGTAGGTTTTCTTGTTTATCAAAAATGTTTTGTTTTTCCGAAGATCCAGTTTTTTTTATTTTTATTGTTATTTAAAATACATTTTTAATTTAATTGATTTCTGCTCTTTATCTCTTTGTATGCTTTGGGTTTAAATCTCTATTCTAATTTCTTAAGGTATAAGCTTAGGCCATTGACCTTCTTTTCCTTCTCAGCACTGCTTTAGATATTCTCATAAATTTTGCTGTGTTGATACTAGAGGCCTGGTGCATGAAATTTGTGCACCAGTGCAGTCCCTAGACCTAGCCTGCTATTGAAACATGAGCATCTGCCATGGAAGGGCAGGTCGCGGATCTCTGGGCCCAGGGCAGCAACTGGGCCCCCGGACCCCCACGCGCCCCTCTCCGCCTGAGTCACGAGCCTGAGTCCCCATGTAGAGATGCAGTGAGTACAGCCGGACACCACAGGCCAGGGCACAATGTGGGCCTCGGGGTCGCCCAGCGGTGCCGCACAGAAGCCGGGTGAGTAGTGCGCTCTCTCCTGGCTGGCCTTGTCCACCGGCTCCTGTGCGAACCCACGGGGAGCCCTATGAGCCCCTGCAGTCCTGGAGGCTGCAGCCGGCTCACCCAGAAGCAGCCATGCGGGTGCGTGACAGGCTCCTCACGGGCACCCGGCACCTGAGTACGGGGGCTTCCCTGGAACGTGAGCCCTGGCGTCCTGGGGGAGGATAGTAGGGAGAGTGAGAGTAAGCTTGGTGGACACCTCGCATTCTCACTGCACCTCTGTCCCTGTCACACCTGCCCCCAGGTAGCTGGCAAGAAGTCACAGCCCCCTGACCAGGTGCCGTGGGAGGTTGGTCACCGCCACCCAACCCCAGTACCCCATCCCAGCCCGGGGCCGGCCCCGATCAGGCAGTCAGGGCCTGCCGGCTGCTGGTCGCTGTCTGCAGAGTGATCGGTTGGGGCCAGGCCCCCTGTCCGGCTCCCTCAGCACCTGGGAGCAGGGCGGCGGCCCCGCCCCCTGCTGTTGCCACTGGTTGCCGTCTATGGGGCGATCGGCGGGGCAGTTGGGCCCCCTCTTGCATCTGCCTTGGCCTTGTGCCGCCCGCTTACCTGCTCTACCATCCCACCGCCGTCCTGCTCTTGTCGAGGCCCATCGGGGCGGGGAGTGCCTCCACTGCCATCTGCTGCCAGCACCGCATTGCCTACGCCTGTCATGTTCTGCGCCACCCCTGGAGGTCAGCGCACGTCATAGTGAGCGGTTGAGCTCCCGGTTGAACTCTCGGTTGAGAGGACAATTTGCATATTAGGCTTTTATTATATTGGATTTTCTAAGTTCTTATGTGACTTTTGCTTTGACTTATGGGTTATTTAGAATAGAAGTATATTATTTACATTCCAAATATTTGATGATTTTACCTAGTTCTTTCAGTAATTGATTTTTATGTTTAATTTTGTTATAAGCAAGTAGTATAGAATATATAATTTCTTTTAAACTCTTTGAAATATTTTTTATGGCAGAATATGGTTAGACTTGGTAAATGTTCTATGTGTACTTCCAAATATTGTGGATTGTGCTTTTGGGTAGAGTATTCTATAAGTTCTTTATTACATATTAAATGTTAATTTCAATATTTTATATTAAATATGCTATAATTGTCATGTCAAGTTAATTGATGGTGCTTATTAGGTTGTCTGTTTCCTTATGGGGAGTCTACCTACTTGTTGATCACCATAGGAAAAGTTTAAGTCTCCAAATATAATTGCATATTTATTTTTCCTTTTTGTTCTAACAAATTTTGCTTCATGTATTTTGAACCTCTCTTGTTAGGTGCATGTATATTTAGGGTTGTATGTCTTCTTGAATTTACTCCTTTGTCTTATATAATATTCCTCTTTATCTCAGTAATATTTCTTCTTCTGCAGTCTACTTTATCTGAAATTAATATTCCCACTACACCTTTCTTTTGATTAGGTTTTGCATGATACATCCTTTTACTTTGAATTTATGCCTTTATATTTAAAGTGGGTTTGCTGTAGACAGCTCACTTTTTAAGTCCATCCTGACAGTCTGGTTTTTTAGTTCAGTTGTTTACACCATTTATGTTTAATGTAATTAATCATTGATGTAAATCTGCCATCTTGTTTTCTATTTAACCCATCTGCTTTATGGTCTCTATTTTTTAGCTCATTTTTTCTTGATTTGCTCTTTACTACTCATATTTATTTTGCTTCTTTAAAAAGTTATACTTCTTTCTCTGTGATTTACATTATGCATCTTTAATTCCAGTCTGTATTCAAGCACTGTAATACTACTTTTTTAGATAGTGTCAGAATCCTATAACAGTATATTTACACTTTTTCTTTCCTATCTTTTGTACTATTATTGTCATACTTTTACTTATGCCATAAATTCATGATATCTCGCTA